GGTAAATTTGAATTTTGCAGATTATTGTTTCGGAATATATGTAAAATATATTGTCACATTTTCAGCACATTGCTTTTCACACTCGTTTAACGTATGAAAAGATTTAAAATTTAAGCGAAGTTTAAAGTTTACAGTTAATATTTTTCAATTTTCAATCATTGCTCTCAATATATGTATTCATATAACTGACAGGTATTTCCTCGATATATCGAGTCATTTCATTGATTTTGTAATTTTTTAAGTTTTTATGTAGTAGAAAGAAGAAGAAGAAGAAAAAAGAAAACCATAAATATTTACGTAAAACGTGGATTATTTGTTTAAAATAACGAAATGTTAGGACCTTTTCAGAATTATACAATAATTAATACGATATAATGTAATAATTTATTGTTAATAGATCTAATATTATAGGTAGAGCTATTATTCGTATATAAATATGAAATCAATTGCATTCGCTGATGTATAATTTTAGCAATTTTTTAAAGTAATATATAATCTGTCGCATGTACAATGAAAAAAGAAAGAAGAAATCAAATCAATTCATCGAGTAGTTTTTCTGGAGTAAAGTCTTAAAAAATTTTTTAGTTTCGTATTCCCAAAGATACGTATGTTCTCCTTTAATGAAAAATATAGGTAGTCTGCCACCTACTGCGTAAAAATTTTAAATCATTATGTTGCTATCCTTGTAATGGCAATAAAACACATTCTGAAGGAACTTCTTCACGTGTTCTTATACGGACAGATTTTTTAAGCATTCCTTTTATGGTACTGTTATTTATGGTTTTCCTTGATTCACAGGTTGAATGTAATGGAAGTAAAATAAGATACCTTCATTTTTAGCGAGTATAACGTATTTTGTTGGTGGAAATTAGAACTACAGAGCTGTCGAATCACAAAGGGTTACAAAACAAAGGTGTTCACGTAAGATAACGCTAAACGTGTGATGTACTGCTTGAAAACAGAAAATGTCCATTGTCCCTTGAAACAAAACAAGGAATATCTTCACACCTACTTTCAATGTTTCTTACTTACTGTTGTAAGTTTGTATTATTGCAAGAGTAATGAAATTTTATATATAACGAGTGAGAGAAAAACAAAGTATCCGAATATTAATAAAATGGATATACTCAATCTTGCTCATAAGCTGTGAAGGAATATTGAAATAATGTAAAACAATTATATTTTCGTTTATTTACTTCTTTTTAAATACTTTATTTAAATACAAAATTTATGTTATGGACAGTATAATCAAGTTCATTGAACGTTATTTTTTTACTGATAGACGAAAGTAAATAAAAATTTAACTAAAACGTTAGTTTCTTGACCAAGATTTGAATTTTAGGTCTGTAATCCTCCCATCTCCTTCGTCCCCGTCCAATACAGTTCAAAGGGAAAGTATCAAAGGCAGAAAGAATTTAAATTAAAATTTATTATATTAGTTTCATTAATACTTTCGAGATAGTTACTCATTTAAAATATAAATGTTTTATAATTCGACATTCCTCGAGAACGATATGAAATATATTTCATAGGTGTATATATATAGGAAAAAATAGTTACTAATTGAATACCTTCGATCGGACTTTTATTCATTAATTCTTTTAGTTCCTAGAAATTAATATGTCGACATTTTTATTAAATGTATTAAAACTTATAATTGCATTAAATGGAGAAGTCCCTACTCAAACAGATCTGGGTCTAAATTGGATCGACTCTTCGGCGAATGAAAATAACTCGGATAGGATCTCAAAAGTCGCATTAGAATTTAGTCTTCTTATTAAATGTCTTAAATCCAATTGAATCTATAATGACAAATGAAATTATGGGAAATCGATAGTTCAGCATTCTACAGACGTTCAAAGGAACGAATAATAATCAGGTGCCCAAGATTAATATGGCGAGCATCATATCAAGGTCACGAGACAGCGTTATAACCCGTAGGAATTCAGCTAGAACTCACTCGTGACGCGATATTGATATTGTTGCGTTTTGCTTCAAAGGATGTCGCTCACATGGAAAATGCCTTCCTGAAGTTTTGATATAGACAAAATTTATTCATCGTTGCTGTATGGAAAGCAAAGAACAAGTATGCACGTTCTTGTCAAGATTATTTCAAATTATGTAGCGACACACTACGCGAAAGTTCTAAAATAATATTCAGTATCTTCGCTATTCTCACGTATGAGTTTATTATTTCGCAAGAAAGTAAATATGAGAATACCTCTGTTTTGAAATTTCTTTGCCTCGGTCCTTGTTCACATCGTTAGAAATAGCCTGAGATTCAAACGATAGAAGCTGTAGCCAGGGATGATATTGAAAACACAAATGGATCGTACATTTTGAAGCGTCACCGTGGCATCTTGGCAAGCCATAACCAAGTTCTTGAGATGGTGGCAACCATAAGGATGAAATTGCAAACAGTATTGCACCATACGTTTCGAAATATCACCAGGATTTTCTGGCAAATCATAGCCAAGTTTTTGAGGCTGTAACCACTATTACAGCGATGAAATGAAAAATATGAATGAATCGTACATTGTGAAATGTCATCATGGTTTTCTGATAAACTATAGTTAAGTCTAGTCCTTCATCGAAAAACTCTGAAGTGACAGTATTCGAAGAAGCTTCAATTGGGTCTGTAGTCTGTGACAACGCAATTATGTTGTTGACATCTAATCTAATTCCACATAATTTTCAATTAAATAAATAATACAATTTCAATGATATAACAGTGAGATAAGGAAAAATAAAAGTTATAATAACGGTGTACCAAGTGTGTGTTTTTTCTTACAAATATATTCTGATACATAGTTACAGGAGAGAAATATTTTATTTTTACCTATTGCATCTCGATGTCTTTTGTCTTGAAAACTTAATATATTTTACTCTCATTTAATATGATCGTCAATGTTGCATTCCAAACACTGCAACTCTCTTTCTATTGGATCTTCGCGGGGTTGCAAATCCCGCTACACTAACGGGACAGAGTTAAGGATGCAGTCTAATCAAACTTGAGTGATCTAGACCTGGTTAGGGTTAGAAAATGATTGCGAATATCGATTGTAACGCTATTTACTGATTTCAACAAAATATAACGAAGCGAATTGAAGTCGTCGGTTGAGTGTAGTTTGTTTTTCACGGGAGTTTGCGCGTGACACTGCTTGGTCGACGTATGCCAGTGTTTTCACAAGTTTAAGTGTGTTGTGAGTGGTTGGTACGAAATGTAAGCAGTAGGTGCGGGTTTTTCTATTGGTTGTATATTTATATTAGGTGTGTGTACTTGTTTCGGCGTTTTTCGATGGTAGGAGATGTTTAAAGAAATTTGGACCGCTGTGACCATCGCCTAGCGATATTTATGGTCCTTTGCTAGGAACGTGGAGTCCAGGTGACACGAATGTCCACGAGCTACGGTATGGCGGTAATAAACAAATAAACCAATTTTTAACTCGACTCAGAAAATTCGGTCTTGGGACCGAACAATTACGATTAGAAATTTATTGTTTCGAACTTGCGCTAAGTATATTTGTTAATACTTACATCGTGAGCATAATATTTCTACCATAATTTGGTTTTCTTTGGTATCAAGGAATTATTCTCTCAATTAAGATTGCAGGGGGTGCAGACATGTTCGCATGCGTTGGTACCCTTAAGCCCCAAACGAAGGGGCCATAGGCAGAGAGTGATAACGACGCGGTCACTTTTCGAAAAGGTCATCAACGTGCGTTTGACCCCCGTGCACTTCGACCAAGTGTACCTCACCCTGAAGGAGGGGTTTTCTCCACCACCGTCTTAGTTTGGAGAACGGTACTTCAGGGTGATCAAAGGAACACTCTTAGTCCAATTTAGCCATTTAGGAAACGTTCGCCCTTTGGCAAACTCCTGATTTTCAACAAAATCGACGTGAAGAAAGTCGCGGAGTTTTGACAGACAGTCGACAGTTTCTGAGTTGTCTGTTCTAGTAAAGCATTCTGGGCTTAGTCTATCGTTCGACCTTGTTTCAGTCTGCACTCGACTCGTTTATAATCTATCGTTCAATTTTATCATAGTCTGTCTTCTTCCTTGTAAACCATAAACTGTCACGTGACATCCGCGAAACGAGACAGTTCTAGAGAACCATATTGAACTAGTTGCTCAAGATTAATTTGGCGGGCAATATTACGAGATCGCGAGACGGCTTTACAACCCGTCGGAATTCATCGAGAGTTCATTCGCGACGCAACATGTTGCTGATCTTCTATCTATATTTGTTGTTTCAACGACTGTTTAGAGAAACTTCAACATATATGGGTTATATTATTTATCTCGCGAAAGGTTGAGGGCAATTTTGATATTATAATATATATTAAATTTATGCACGATTGGTAGACTTTTACATTATTTACTTGCATCCTACACCACCGATTTGATCGAGGTGAACGCAAATATGTCTAGATTGGTAATATATAATATTTTGAATAAATTAAATTAATTCTTCCGGCCAATATCGATACGCAGTACCGATTCATATACGAAACAGAATTAACAAATCAACAATCTCGAGGATAAATTGGGATGCCAAAAATTCTTTGAAATTCATTTCCCTTGAGAGTGATCACGATACGGATCCGTCGTGTATTTACTATTGAGGCACTACTATACCTATTTCTGCTAGAAACACGATTATTAATAAACGAAATATCGATTAATTACATTTAAAAACGATTCTTTTTAAAAATTCTGAATACTTTTATATGTAGATCTCGATACTCCCAAATTCTTTTCGACTGAATAGAAAAGAATGTTTTTGGGAATGATTGATCGGAGAAATTAAATCGTATATAATTTGTAAAAATTACGCGATTGAAACTGATGCTCGTGAAAAATATTTTATACCTTTATATGATATATAATAATATTCCAAATATTATAATATAAAATAATATTGCGAATAATCGAAGTATAAAACTTGGAGTAAAAGTGCACGGACTCGTAAAGAGTATAATTTTTGTGTAACATTTCAGGAACAGCGGGACAATGCACGGTCTTTCACTTCAACGGAGGCACAAACGGAACTCCCATTGCAAAGTGGCCCAGAGACTCTCGAGGATCTCGACGGTGTTCGCGGTGCTCGAAGAAGAGAGAGGCGAATGCGCAGGCAACATCGTCGAGCCTTGAGATCATGCTCGATGCCACCATCTTATCCTGGCACATCAGCGGGATGTCAGGCTTCTTCTACTGCACCGGGAGTACCGCTGGTCACTCCCACCAGAGGATTTCTACATCTTCCACCGCCTCATTTGGGTCTTAGGGGCCTTAGTCTTGGTCTACCTTTTCCGGTTTCAACCAGCGTCTCTGCTTTTGGCCGGTAAATATTCAAATACACGCCTATATATAAATACGTTTGTTTCAATCAATTTAATGGCGCTGAAGACACGTTTTACCATTACCTGTTAACTATCCGGATAAATCTACTATATTTGATCCTATCATGCATGAGATATAATTTTGCTGATTTTTATCAGCGAATGCCTAAAACATGTATGTTTGCGTATGTTACACTCATACATGTATGAAAGCATCGAACGTTTACATATGTTGTGGTAACATATTATACGCATGTTAGATTGAAGTATTTAAAACGGTAATGATGTATGTATATATAATAAGAGGAAAATCTCGACATTACGTCGATCAAATTAGAAAATAATTCAGTACTACATATATATATTACTTGTAATATTTATTACAAATCTGTATTATTGGTAGCTGTTGATGCATCTTTTCTTCTTTATCACAGCCTTCAGATTATTGTCCATTGAACACATTAACGTCGTTGTTTCGTATTTGTAATAATTACTGATATAATTATAATTCAGTACTACATATATATATTACTTGTAATATTTATTACAAATCTGTATTATTGGTAGCCGTTGATGCATCTTTTCTTCTTTATCACAGCCTTCAGATGATTGTCCATTGAACACATTAACGTCGTTGTTTCGTATTTGTAATAATTACTGATATAATTTTGAGATTTCCACTGTGCTATATGTATCATATCTACTACATGTATACTATATTTTTGATATTTCGATTTTACATATATATTGTTCTTAAATTTAATAAATGTAAACGTTCGTTGCATTTTTATGTATGAGTGTATATTTTAAATTTCTGTATCCATCTAAAAGTTTGAATATGTTATACAGGGTGTCCCAGCAACGGTAGTAACGGTGATTCTAAATGCAAAAGCAAATCGAAAATACAGAATAAATTGCACTTAGTCATGGCTTAGATGGATAAACCATCAATACATTAGCATCAGTGGTACAACCGATGAGGGAATAATTTTACATGGAGAAAGAAGTCGAAAATAAAGAATAACGATTTTTTATTCTAAGCTTCATTGTTGAAAAAATATTAAAAAATTTAAATATTCACCGAGTACGCGTGCATTTAACTTTGGCTTCTTAGATAGATGAACCATCAGTACACCAGCGTACTCGGTGTATATTCAAAGTCGATTTTTCTTGACAACGAAGCTTGAAATGATAAAATTTTATTCTTTATTTTCGATATGTTTTATCATGTAGAATCACCCCATTCCCGGTCGTACTACCGTTGCTGACACACTCTATATAACACGTGCTTCAAGTTGAAATTAAAAACGTGAAACAATTTTTTTCAATAGCTTTTATTTCTCATATTTCATTTCAAGATATTTTGTTTTATCACGCTGCTCAATAAATATAATCATTACGCAAAGTTTTTAAGAATTAATTATTTTTATCTAAGTATACTATTTTATAATTTGTAATATATTAATATTATTGTCCTAAAATACATTATGAAAATATAAATTATCTTGGAATTCAAATATTTAGTTTATTTTAAGACAATTATCGAAATACTTTTTATTATTATTGCATAATTTACGATTAACAATTAAATTTTTTGCTTATGTTTTAGTTACATAACTATTTCTCTGTGGCATTTTATTTTTAGAAGATATATACAAACAATGCATAATGAAAGATATGTCGTCAAACTTGAATCATTATTTATTTAAAAAATGATAATACAAATTATCCAAATAACAAATCCTTTTCATTTACTTTTGTTAGAAAGAATTTACTGTCTATACTAGTTTGTTATAATGTATCTATAATACTGAGCATTATTAATGTTGATAATAATAATAATAATAACAATAACAACAACAACAACAATAAAAATAATAAATATGTCAGAAAAATTAAAAAATCAAATATATCATAAAACATTTAGAAGATAACGAAGTTTTTATAAATGTAATTACTTGCTAAATAATAATTAATAATATTAAATAAATAGCAAAAGAATACTTAATTACAGAGCTTTAGGAGAAATGTATGAAAATATTGATTTATTACGGTTTAGTTTTTTAATTTGGAGATCCATAGATCTCTCCCTGTGTGCTAAGAAGTCTTTAAGATCTGCATGTGAATTACCACTGTGTATATCTACCATACTGGTAAGATACTTGCAAAACTCTTGAGATTATAAACGCTCTATAGGAGATATAAGCGTACAAAGAACTATTGTTTTACAGATTAAAAATCTGAATATCTCGGACGTTATTAGTTTCTGTATCTGCAATGGTGTTGACATAGTTTCGTGTAAATGGTACGTTGAAGTTTCATTTGTACACACATGAATCGTGTATATTTATACTGCATTCTGAAACGAATGCATGTTGCATTCTCTGCAGAACCGTACTTTATGAAATAGCAGAACAATATTTGTTTGCCTGTTTCACTTGATATATCTACGTTCTAGATCATTTTTACGTTTTATTCCTAGTTTGAAATTTTTCGAAAATTTGGACGTGTTTGAATAGCTGCGTTTACAAGCTTTTATTCGTCCCTGCGGAATCGACTGAATTTTATTCAATATCGCATATACGTGACGTTTTCTCTATACCAGAAATTATATTTGGCTTTACACGAATAGACAATTCTTTCATTTTTCAATATATTATTTGAATTATATTATTGAATTTATTACTGTTATTGTTAGAATTTCATTACAGTTTTTATTGTTGTATTTATATATTTTCTAATGTTGCTATCTCTAACATTTTTACATCGTTTAAATGTAAAAATTGTACTACCTATTCTATTGTCTATACTTTAAATTATTATTGCTATATTCGTCCTTAAACTTTTCGATTATGTGTGCGTTTGTTTTGATATAAATTTTTTAATAAATGAAAATAGTATACTATTACTAATTATGTTGATTTGAATAATATTTTTTTCGCATATGGCATTATGTATCAGTTATTCTGAGCTTAAAGTAATTATACTTGTTCATGTGCACAATTATTATACATATTTTTGTTATCCCTTTACTCTACTACTCTGCTGGTCTCTTTGTAACGAGCTGTATCAAATTTATAAAATTAAAGGTTATGTATGTTCCATAATTGCATATGTAGTTGGTTCGAGTGATATAGCGTACTCATAAATTATCACACTAAGCTTCGACATTAACACCAAAATAGTACCGTCAAAGTCTTCTTCGATAGTCTGCGACAGAATTGTCTGCAGTTTTCAGTTATAGATATTTAACGTTAAGTAGTAAAACAACTAAAAGGATAAAAGAAGTGATCGGTTAATTTTGAATTTCAACATAGTTCTATTTAATGTTAAATATTTAAATTTCCCAATATCTATCTTTATAACTAAATTTTGTTTAATATCTGAAACATTTAGGAAAACTTTAAACTTTTGTAAACCATCGTCAATAATGTCCAACCAAGGAAAAATCTATTCTAAATTGAAATACATCTTACCGCTCTGATCGAGCATCGTATCTCCCCGCAAATGAAATTCTGTAGTTATAAAGAAAAACGCCGCATATTTTCATTTTCGAGATATTGTTATTTAAAGTTTTGAACATGAATTCTTCTTATTAACATTTATGGTTAAATTATATAACATTTTTGAATATGTAAAATTTGTTTTCATTCATTTTTTCTGATGAGTACGTAAATCATATGTTTTGCAAACCAATTAACAAATAAACCAATATTTTCTGAAATTGCGACTTGCGACTTGTTTCCTTGCAACCACAGATTTGAACTTTTAGGCTCCATTAATTATACGAATACGTTATATGGTTCGAACCTACTTACTATACACTTAACACTAGGTTTACGGACGCTATCTGTATACCTATTTCTAAGGACACCTGTCAAATTGACAGATAAAGGAAACCACGTGTCTTTTTTTAACGACTAGTTTAATTTAAAAACAATTATATGTTATATTAACAGTCTTAATATAAGTTAACTAAATCTGTTACCACCGTATAATTGGAGTAACCCTTCCGTCAAATTGACGGGTTCCGTAAATCTAGCGTTAATGGAAATTTGATAACAAAAGTCAAAGGATGACGTGTAAAATCACGTAAATTAATTCTCAATTATTGTCTGCCAAATTGCTGTTAGACAACTGTTTCTAGTATCGAGCTGCTAATGATGGATTTTCAGCTTTTATGCTCTAAAAGTATACGTATCGTTATTATCTGGAGCGACTATTATCCAAGTAGGATTACAAGACCTGGTAATGTTATATTTGATCGATTGTTGTGGAATATATGCTTTTACAAAAGCTCATTAAGATATGTACGTTTACATTTTTATTCATTTTTCGGGTGCAAAGTTGGAAATTGAAGCAGCTGAATCAATACATTTTTAGAATGTCGCACATGCCCTTTCATGCTCCTTATTCTATGTAAAATTTCAATCACCTTTTTGGGCAAATTTTTCTGTAAATTCGTTTAGTTAAAGTAAACTTTATAAAACGAACAACGCATTTGTAAACTTGTTTTTATTAGTAATCACACGATATACCCATTTTTATACCTTTCGCATGCGATACGCGAATAAGAATAAAAAATAGAAAAGTATATCGATTGCAACGCATGTAGCGAACAATTTTCAAAATGAAATCCCACTAAATCACGTAACAGGTAGGGGCTTGGAAACACGAGATTAAGATCAGAGCTCTTGGACACATGAACAGTTACGCGCTGTTTTTATTATAGTTGAGCTTCGAAAAATATCAAGTTTGTGACATTTGCCGAGTACCGAGGACGATGAACGTACTTAGGAATTCTGAAAATACATTTTGATAAATGACAAATTGTATTGCTGTCGATTATACAGTCCTAACTCAAATATAACCTCGTATATAAAACGTATAATGCGTATTATATTGAAATATTATATTAATATATGAATGCTACTATTACATTAATATATTAATGCAGTATTACATTACCGTGTAACGTATAAAATAATATGATATTGTAGGA